TGAGTAATTTATGGGCTAATTTTCATTTTTGGGTGAACTAACCCTTTAAAAATGTTTGTTAAGACCCAATATCTAAAAGGGCATTAAGATATCTTTTAATACTTTTTGAGTTACAGGCCTGCAAACTTTGGAGAAAAAACTTGAAATGTGCTCTTTTCCCATTTTTGAAAGGTCACCATTGCCACAAAATGCAACAAAGATTGCTAAAGTAATTTTTACCCCCCTGTAATTTGGCTCTGAATCTCAGGTGAAAATTGCCATTTTGACCCCCTCTACAAAATAGTGGATTACTCAGTAAATATTCATCCATAACATTTAATATTTTGGCTGCCATCACTATACATGTTTAACTTTCTCCAAAAAGAAATATTAGCAAAATCAAAAATTTGAACCTTGGACCTCTGGTTGACACAGAATGACCCCTCAATTAAGATCTCAGAATATCTAGTTTAGTGTTTCGTGTTTCCATGAGATGTGTTGAAAAACACTTATTCGTTCAGAAACAGTGCAGATCTAAAGATCACAGTCCTCTCCCGTGCTTCAGGTCAGAGCAGAGCCGTTTTCTGATCTGCTGTTCTTTCGCTCTTTACCGGCTGTAGGTGGCAGCGATCCCAGAAGCCCCAGCGCCACTGTGACGGCGGGCTCGTCTCACGAATCGGGAAGCGGCGAGAAGGAGGCGATGACAGCGGAGGAGCTGCGCAGGAGGAGACAGGCTTACTTCGACAGGTGAGCGCTAAGTAATCGACTGCAAATTACTAATTAATTCTTTAAACTTGTAATTTGATTACATTACTGATTATTGCATTTAACTACTATTTACTTTACTTTCAAGTTTACATTTTTTAAACCTAAAAAATACACTACGAAGTGAAACTCATAGTTCTTTCAGTAATTTAATATTGACTGAAAAATTACTTAAGTATCAAAACAGCAACTTGAACGATCACTTGCATTTTTTGATTTCCTGATAACGCGAAAAGAACATAAACATATGTTTTGTAATTTTTGATTGTACATAAGAGCAATACATCATTTGAAACTGTAAAAGTTATTTTATTTGTATACACTCGCAATACCAACAAAATATTGTGCTTTTGTAAAATAAAGAAAACAAATAGGATGTGCTTTCTGCATTCTCAGTCTCCGCGAATATCTTTCTGAAATGCGTCTCTAAAATGAACCAAAACTCAGCGAATACTTGACACACAGATATGAGAAATATATCTTAAGAAAGCTTGAAGTGTCTGTTTTTAAATGAAGTAATCTTGAAAACAAATATTCTCTGATGAAGTAATTCATTTAAAACCAATGTGAGGTACAGTCTTTCCTGTCTGAGCTCTCCTATAATGTGGTCACATTATGCTCTATAAGATAATCATCCACACGAAGCCAGGCTTGAGACGCGCCAACATATAAACTCCCACATCACCCCTGTAAACAAAGCGTTAAGATTCATCAAGTTCAACTAGGCTGCTTTTCGTTTTTGGAACAAGACGCGCTGTGAGGAATAAGCCTTGAATTTACCTCAGAAGAAGAATGCGATGTGACGCGGCTTAATCCAGTGGAGGATATCATTCTGATGAGTCATTTATTTTTACTTATATCAGTGTTATTGTGACATGAAGTACACATTCTTGAGGTGAACTTTTCCCAAACTATAATGCCATACTAAAAGATGTGAAATTGAGTGCAACATTTTGAAATATGATAGGAAACCTTTCATTGCATCTAAATGTTGTAGGACTTGTCTGCATGTTTAGCTCGCATTCTCATACTGACGCACAAAACATGATATTTACTTCATATTTTTTAACACTGCATTTGTAACTTAAGTAACATAAATCTATTCACATTAGGAACTGTAATCAAATTGCATAAATTTAAAGTGTAATGCATTACATTACTACGTAATCAGGAAAAGTAATTAGAATACAGTAACGCTCTGGCGCAGAGTAATGATGACGGTCTGATCTCCTCACAGGCAGCAAGCTCAGTCCTCCGCTCACCACAGCAGCTCCGCCGGTAAGAGATTCTGTCTGTCATCATCATCTTACTGATTACAGACGTCTGCTTTATGAATCTGTCTGGGATCTGCGCTGCTCAGCAGATCATGTTGTTTTGCAGACGGAGGGAAGGACAGCGGGACCAAACCCAACCAGTGACGGTCCATCAGCGCCGGTGACAAACGCCCTGAATGCCCTCGACCCGAGCTCTCTCTGGGAATGATGGGACTCACATCTCCTCTCAGAACTGGCCCGGGACCGATCAGGTCCTGCTGTGTAATAAAGGGACATTCGTTTAGCTTCGCTTCTCCTCTTTGAGTTGAACGAAGTGAAAGGGAAGCGTTTCCCGGATCATTCCTCTTCCTCAGACGGACACACGAGCGAGACGAGACCGCGGCGTGAGGAGGGAGCTGTCAGCGCTGGGATCACTCCTGCAATCTGGGACCATTGGGCTTTACTGGGGTTACTGGATCTCTCTGCTCTTCTCCTCTGTGGACTGTAGTGAAGACCTTCTGCTGGTCACCGGTGAGCGGCGGGTGACGTGCCCTAGGTAGACGGCACAGTGAGGGCAGATGCTGATGTGGAGATCAGTCTTCATACAGATTCAGACCTTCACTTGTTTTAGTCGTTCATCAGTCATCCCTCATTTGTTGGCAGGCAGCAGCTCTTTTGGATCTAGGTTGTGATTTCTCATGGTTTTCACATTCTTTTCTATGATTTCATGCGTTTGGTGGCACAGCAGCGTTTCTGAACTCGTTTCACATTCAGCAATAGTTTTTAAGTGATTGGTTATTCTTGAACTCCTATATAGACTTATTGTTTCTTAAATAAAAACCTTTCTTTTCCCCCTGAGTGGATGTTGTTTGTTTCTTCTCTCTGGAATATTTTGATTCTGTGAGTCTCTTGAAGATGTCAGATGTTCCTTCAGCATTTAGCGCTGGAGTTTCATTCATGATGGAAAGAAGAGCGAGTCTATCTGAATGCCGTCATTCAGCTGCAGCAGTGTACAAGTAAACAAGATGGAGAGATGTACTGTGTCAAAATGATACTCCCAGAAACCAGTCAAAACTGTGAAACATTCCCACATTAAAATCATATCCAATTGAAAGAATCAGAAAGAGCTTTATTGCCAGGTATGTTTACACATACGAGGAATTTGTTTTAGTGACAGAAGCTTCCACAGTGCAACAGAATGACAGTGACAAGACGAGACTGATAATAAAAACAATAAACACAGGATAAGTAAATAGGAAATAACAATATACAAAAATTTTTTTTTAAGAAAAACAAATACACAATGTACAAAGTCAAACATTCTCTTTTCTCTGTGATTTCTCCTGACTATAACAGAATAATTTTTGGCCGAACAATCCTATTAATTTGATGACCTGCAGATATGTAGATATGAATATCTGTTAAAGTCTGAATGAAATTACAGCAAGTTTCCTACAATCATTCTTAAAGGAATAGTTCACCAAAAAAAATGAACTAGTTTGCTGAAAATGCTCAGCAATGGATGCTCTGCAGTGAATGGGTGCCGTCAGAATGAGAGACCAAACAGCTGATAAAAACATCACAATAATCCACAAGTAATCCACACCACTCCAGTCCATCAGTTAACATCTGGAGAAGACAAAAGCTGAAACTAATCCAGCATTAAGACGCTTTTAAATTCAAACCTGATCCATTGGTGAGCAAGTGATGGAGTGATACATTTCTCCAAATCTGTTCCCACGAAGAAACAAACTCATCTACATCTTGAATGGCCTGAGGA